CAGGCTGGGCTTGAAACCCTGGGTTCTGGCAATCGTCTCACCTTGGCCTCCCAAAGTGCTGGGATTACAGGATTGATCCACCATGTCTGACCAAACTATATATTTTTTGTTTGTTTTTGTTGGAGTTGGAGTCTCACTCCTTGTCACCCAGGCTGGAGGGCAGTGGCATGCTCCTGGCCACTGCAGCCTTGACCTACTAGGCTCAGGCGATCCTTTTGCCTCAGTCTTCTGAGTAGCTGGAACTACAGGCACGTGCCACCATACCCAGCTAATTTTAAAATTTTATTTAGAGATGAGGTCTCGCCAAGTTGCCCAGGCTGATCTCAAACCTGCAGGCTTAGGCAATCCTCTCACCTCATCCATCCTCCCAAAGTGCTGGGATTATAGATGTGAGCCACCCTGCCAGGCCTTTTTTTTTTTTAAGTTGGCATCTCGCTCTTGTCATCTAGGCTAGAGTGCAGTGGCACACTCACAGCCACCACATCCTCGACCTGCAGGGCTTAGGCAAACCTTCCACCTTAGCCTTCCAAGTAACTGGAACTACAGATGTAGGCCACCACGCCTGGTTAGTTTTTTGTGTGATTTATTGTAGAGACGAGGTCTCACCAAGTTGCCCAGGCTGGTCTAGAACCCTGGGCTCAGGGTGTCTTCCTGCCTTGGCCTCCCCAAGTGCTGGGATTATAGACTGAGCCACTGCACCTGGCCAAGCTATATATTTTTGATTCGTATAGTTTTCTGTATGTTCTTCTTCAAAAAATGTTTTTTATCAAAGAAGATGTACAAGTAGCAAACAAGCGCATCAAAATACATTCAGCGTCATTCTTTCTTTCTTTTTTTTTTTGAGTTGGAGTCTCACTCTGTCGCCCAGACTGGAGTGCAGTGGCCGCTCCCGGCCACCGCAGCCTCGACCTGCTGGGCTCCGGCGATCCTTCCGCCTCAGCCTTCTGAATAGCCGAAATTACAGGCACGCACTACCACGCCCGGCTGATTTTTTTGATTTATTGTAGAGATGAGGTCTCGCTGCCCAGGCGGGTCTTGAACCCGCGGGCTCAGGCAATCCACTCACCTCAGCCTCCCAAAGGCGCGGGATTACAGGCTGAGCCACCAAGCCCAACTCATTTAATGTCTTTCAACATTAGGGACATGCAAGTGAAAACCACAATGAGATATCATGTCACACTCAAGAGGGTGGCTATAATTTTTTTTAAAAAGGGAAAATAACAAGAGTTGACAAGTATATGGAGGAACTGGAATTCTCACACATGGCTGGTAGGAATGTAAAGTGGTACAGCTGCACAGCCTGGCAGTTCCTCAAAAAGTTAAACAGACCAACCTGGGCAACTTAGCGTGACCTCATCTCTACTAAATCAAAAATATCAGCCGGGCATGATAGCATGTGCCTGTAGTTCCAGTTACTTAGAAAGCTGAGATGGGAGAATCGCCTGAGCCCAGTGGATTGATGCTGGGGTGGCCATGAGTGTGCCACTGCACTCCAGCCTGGGTGAAGTGAGACTACAACTAAAAAAAAAAAAGTTAAATATATAATTACCATATGATCCAGCAATTCTGCTCCTAGACATATCCCCAAAATAATCAAAAACAGGTGAAATACTTGTACATGAATAATCACAGAAGTGCTATTCACAACCAAAAGGTGGAAGCAACTCAATGCTCATTAATTTATGAAAATAGATAAACAAAATGTGACCTATCCATACAATGAGATATTATTCATCCATAAAAAAGAATGAAGTACTGATACATCCACAATGTAGATGAACCTCAAAAACATTATGCATGGTAAAAGAAGCCAGGTACAAAAGATCAGACACATATTGTATGATTCCATTTCTATGAAATATCCTGAATAAGTAAATCCATAGAGACAGAAAACACTTTAGTTGTAGCCAGGGGCTGGAGAGAAGGGAGAATGGGGAGTGGGTGGTTAATGGGTACAGGTTTCCTTTTGAGGTGATGAAAATGTACTGGAGCCGGGCTCGGTGGCTCAGCCTATAATCCCGTGCCTTTGGGAGGCTGAGGTGAGTGGATTGCCTGAGCCCGCGAGTTCGAGACCCGCCTGGGCAACTTGGCAAGACCTCATCTCTACAATAAATCAAAAAATTAGCTGGGCGTGGTGGCATGTGCCTGTAGTTCCAACTACTTGGAAGGCTGAGGCCAAACGATCTACTGAGCTCAGCAGATTAAGGCTGCGGTGGCCATGAGTGTGCCGCTGCACTCCAGCCTGGGTGACGGAGTGAAACTCTGACAAAAAAAAAAAAAAAAAGTACTGGAATTAGTTAGAAATGATAGTTGTACACTACTGTGAATGTTCTAAGTGCCACTTAATCATACATTTAAGAAGATTAATTTTATGTTGTGTACATTTTACTTCAATAAAGAAGTTTTCCAACTTGAAAAAAAATTCATTAAAAAAGGAAAAAAGAGACCGGGCTCGGTGGCTCACGCCTGTAATCCCAGCACTTTGGGAGGCTGAGGTGAGTGGATTGTCTGAGCCCGTGGGTTCGAGACCCGCCTGGGCAACTTGTCGAGCCCTCATCTCTACAATAAATCAAAAAATTAGTTGGGTGTAGTAGCGCACTTGCTACTTGGAAGACTAAGGTGGAATGATTGCCTGAGCCCAGCAGATCAAGACTGGTGGCCATGAGCAGCGTGCCACTGTGCTCCAGCCTGGGTGACAAGTGAGACTCTGACTCAAAAAAAAAAAAGGAAATGATTCTGGATTGTATGTGAGAATGGGTTTAGAAGATGGAATCAGGGAGACCAGCAAGGAGGCTTGGCACTAGTTCAGACAAGAGTTGATGGTGACTTGAGCTAAAAAAAAGTCATAGCCAGACACTGTGGCTCACACCTGTAATCCCAGCACTTTGGGAGGCTGAAGTGAGCGGATTGCCTAAATCCAGGAGTTGAAGCTTGGTTCAACTCCTGCCAGCTTGGTCAACATGGCAGGACCTTGTCTCTACAATAAATAAAAAAATTAGCTGGGTATGGTGGTATACACCTGTAGTCTCAGCTACTTAGAAGGCTGAGGTGGAAGGATCGCTGAGCCCAGCAGGTCAAGGCTTCATTGGCTTTGTGTGTGCCACTGCATTCCAGTCTGGGCAACAGATTAAGACTCTGACTCAAAAAAAGAAAAAAGAAAGAAAGAAAGTGGTCACAGACATGGAGAAAAGTGGACAGATTTCAGATGTGTTGTGGTGTTGGCAGGACTTGTTGGCTTGAACATAGGATGTAAAAGAGAATTAAGATTGACTTCTAGGTGGAAGAATCGCCTGATCCCAGAGGTTGAAGCTGTGGTGACCATGAGTGTGCCACTGTACTCCAACCTGAGCAACAGAGTGAGGCTCCAACTCAAAAAAAATAAAATAAAATAAATAACTCCTAGATTTTTCATTTGAACAACTGGAGAGTGGGTGGTGGTGTTCTAGTACCCCATGTTAAGAATCCTAAATCTGCCAGGCATGGTGGCTCATGCCTGTAAACCCAGCACTTTGGGAGGCAGAGGTGAGAGGATTGCCTGAGCCTACAGGTTCAAGACCAGCCTGGGCAACATGGTGAGACCTCATCTCTACAATAAATTGAAAAATTAGCTGGGCATGGTGGCACACGCCAATAGTTCCAACTACTTGGAAGGTTGAAGTGGAAGGTCTCCTGAGCCCAGCAGGTCGAGGCTGCTGTGGTCATGTGCACTCCAGCCTGGGCGACAGAGTGAGACTCCAATGGAAGGAGGGAAGGAAGGAAGGGAGGGAGGGAAGGAGGGAAGGAAGGAAGGAAGGAAGGAAGGAAGGAAGGAAGGAAGGAAGGAAGGAACCCTAAATCCTAGGATGCAGGGGCTTCCTCCAGAGCTGAGCTATAATCAACCTTGGTATCTCTGAGTGAGAGACAGGGTCAAATTACCCTTTCTTCCCTTCTGCCAATAGCTCCCCACCCTAACCCCAAACAGTTACTGCCATTAGATATTTTAAACATTATTTTTAGGCTGGGCGCGGTGGCTCACATCTATAATCCCAGCACTTTGAGAGGCCGAGGTAAGAGGATTGCCTGAGCCCATGGGTTCGAGATCAGCCTGGGCAACTTGTTGAGACCTCATCTCTACAATAAATCAAAAATTTAGCCAGGTGTGGTGGCACATGCCTGTAGTTCCAGCTACTGGGAAAGCTGAGGCAGAAGGATCACCTGAGCCCAGCAGGTCGAGGATATGGTGGCCATGAGCGTGCCACTGCACTCCAGCCTTGGCAACAGAGTGAGACTCCAAATTTTAAAAAAAATTATTTTTAATGGAAGACTCAAAGTTATGCCAATTTGACTGGGTGCAATGGCTTACGCATGTAATTCCAGGATTTTGGGAGACCAAGACCAGCCTTGGCAACATGGTGAGACCTTGTTGCTACAATAAATTTTTTTTTTTAATTAGCTGAAAGTGGTAGTGCATGCCTGTAGTCCCAACTACTCAGGAAGCTGAGGCAGAAGGATTACCAGAGCCCAAAAGGTTGAGGCTACAGTAGCTGTGACCATGCTATTGCATTCCAGCCTGGGTGACAGAGTGAGATTCTGTTATGCAAACTCTCATTTAACATTCCCTTCCACATTCTCAGCTCTCTGGTTATGATACTAGCCTTGCCTGTGGCATGGCTCTGCCCAGGGCTATCTTCCTCTATGGACCCTGATGACCCTAATGGCAGGATCATCAGACTAAGCTTCAAACAGCTGTCCTCCCTGGCCTCTTTAGAGGCTGAGTTGTGTCTCTTCAGACACTCATCTCTTGGACCTGATCTGTTCTGTCTAGATTGTGACTGCTGCAGACTGTCCAGTCCTGCTGGGGTTCTCTCTCTCTACCTTTGTTCCTAACGGCCTTTTGTGCTACTCTAAGACTTCCTCCAGGTTTCATCAAGAGTACCCCCTCCTACTCTACCTCAAGACTTGGTACTCCCAGACAACTACTCTGCCCTTACGTGAGCCTCACCTTATCTCTCCCTTTACAGGGGAACCCCTTTCCACAGAGAGCCGGCTCATGAACAGCTGTATCCAGGCCAGGAGGAAGTGCCAGGCTGATGCCACTTGCAGTGCTGCCTACTACCACCTGGATTCCTGCACCTCTAGCGTAAGCACTCCATTGCCCTCGGAGGAGCCTTCAGTCCCTGCGGACTGCCTGGAGGCAGTACAGCAACTCAGGAACAGCTCTCTGATAGGCTGCACTTGCCACCGGCGCATGAAGAACCAAGCTACCTGCCTGGACATCTTTTGGACCGTTCACCGTGCTCGTGGCCTTGGTGAGGCCCCCATCCTAGACTAAACTGGGGAAGATGGCTCTTGGGATTGTTTTTTAATTCTGCCGAATATGGACCACAGGGTAGATTCTGATGGGGATGATAACGACATTTGACATCAAAGAGGTGGAGGGAGGAATTGGCAGTATCTTTTTGGGTGCTGACAATGTTGCCCTCTCTTCTTCCTACTTCCCACTTTTTTTCGAGTTGGAGTCTCACTCTGTCGCACAGGCTGGAGCGCAGTGCCATACTTATGGTCACTTCAGTCTCAACTTCCTGGGCTCAGGCAATCCTTCTGCCTCAGCCTTCCGAATAGCTGGGGCTACCGGCTCGCATCACCACACCCGACTAATTTTTTGATTGACTGCAGAACCACCACACCCAGCCCCTGCTTCCCACTTTCTTACCTGGAAATATGTATTCCACTTGGCAGAGCTGTGAACCAGGCCGAGGCCCAACTTGGGGAGCTTCTGGAATGGGAAGGAATGGAGAGGCGATCAGGAAAAGGGTTTTAAGCCATAAACAGGTTCCAGATACCATGTAACCCACAAGTTTAGAGAGACTAGGAAGTAGCATCTTGGTCCGCCTTTTGACGGAAAAGATGCTCATTAGCCAGACAGAAGATGGTGAGAGAGCAGGCACAGAAAGAGCCAAAGAGAGGAGCTGCCTTTTACTCTTTCCATAGACCCCTCTCTCTGATAGTCCAGCTTTTACTAGACTATGTTGTGGTAACAATGTATTGACTTTTGTTTCACCTGTCTTCTTCACTGTGGGATCCAGGCTAAAGGTGCACCCTCTTATCTGGAATGTTCCCTTCTCATGGCAGAAGGAAATGAGCATTGGCAGAAGTGTGCAATGTTTTTAAAAGCTTTGCTCAGGCTGGGCATGATACTTCACGCCTATAATCCCAGCAATCTGGGAAGCCAAGGTGAGAGGATTGCCTGAGCCCAAGGGTTCGAGACCAGCCCAGGCAATTTGACAAGACCTCATCTCTACAATAAATCAAAAAATTAGCCGGGTGTGATGGCATGTGCCTGTAGTTCCAGCTACCTGGAAGGATGAGGTGGAAAGATCACCTGAGCCCAGCAGGTCTAGTCTTCTACTTGCATCCCATTGGCAGAACAAATCACATGGCCAAGTCTAGGATCTCATGATAGTTTCTATATTGTGTCTGGATGTGGCTCCTCTTGATCTAGAAACCTGTAAACTAAACAGATAAGTTATCTGTCTCCTATACATACTCAGCATACAATATGTAACAGAGTCAGGATAACCACATCAAACACTCTCAGAAAAGGGAGGAATGGGAGGCACACCGCTGATATTGGTACATAGCAATTCTGAAATCCTGCTAGACCAATGTTACAAGGGCTCTTTCCCCTGGGAACAGTGGTTTTTTTTAGTTTTAATTTTTATTTTTTGAGTCAGGGTCTCACTCAGTCATCTTGGCTGGAGTGCAGTGACACGATCACTCACTGCAGTTTTGACCTCCTGTGCTCAGGTGATTCTTCTGCTTCAGCTTCCCAAGTGTGCACTACTATGCCCAGCTAATTTTAAAAAATATGTTCTGTAGTGATAAGGTCTCACTATGTTGCCCAGGCTGGTCTTGAACTCCTGGGCTCAAGCAATCCTCTAGCCTCCGCCTCCCAGAGGGCTGGGATTGCAGGTGCATGCCACCATACCCAGCTAGTTTTTATTTTTTTTTGGTAGAGACAAGGTCTCTATGTTGCCCAGGCTGGTCTCGAATTCCTGGGCTCAAGCAATTCTTCCACCTCAGCCTCCCAAAGTGCTGGGATTACAGCCCTGAGACACTGTGCCTGGCTGGGATTTTTTTTGGGTTTTTTTTTTTGAGTTGGAGTCTCACTCTGTCACCCCGACCGGAATGCAGTGGCCACTCCCGGCCACCGCAGCCTCGACCTGCTGGGCTCCAGCGATCCTTCCGCCTCAGCCTTCCAAGTAGCTGGAATTACAGGCGCACTACCACACCCGGCTGATTTTTTGATTTATTGTAGAGATGAGTTCTCGCCTGCCCAGGTGGGTCTCGAACCCGCGGGCTCAGGCAATCCACTCACCTCAGCCTCCCAAAGGCGCGAGATTACAGGCCGAGCCACCGAGCCTGGCTAGGGATTGTTTTTTAATAAGGCCTTGTTTTTGCTCTTTGGGAGTAGTTGCCCAATCTGTTGTTCTCCAGAGTTCTTGGCCAAGCCGTCTGGGAAGTCCCTTCTTTTCCATTATTCTCTTTGACCACATTTGAAAAGGGCACTGGGGACTATAACCTCCCTGAGGACTGAGCAACATTCTTAGCCTGCTTCCTGCCTGAGGAATGTTGGGGCATTTTAAGTCTCAAATAGGTACAGTCTTTTAAAATCCAGGCTGGTAGCTCTTTGCAATACATCTCTCTAAAAGCATAATTGCTTCTTATATCTTTGATTTTTATCATCTTGTGTGCCAGTAGCCTTTCCCACAATTCAAGACATGCATCTTTTTCTAGAACTAATTAGAAGTCCCTTGGCCTTATCAGGCTTCTGTGGAAGAACCACTACTTTAGTCTTTTTTTTCCTGAGTACATTTGTCCAACTGGCAGAATTTCTTGAGTACCATCTTGATCAACTGCGAGATCTCCACAAATGCCATGATAACCATATGCCTGATTTGGTCTTTTCCCCAAGGCTGAGTTGTGATCAACCTTATCACTCAAAGCATTTTCAATTTTATCTCTTATCTTTTGAATATGAGAAACAGTTGTATTTTTTAATCCTGTAAATCCTGAAATTTCTGGGTTATCTTTTCCATTTCCTCCCTATTTGTGAGCTGGCCAATTCCTTTTTGAGTTTATATCTTTCTTGTAGCACCTTGCTAAATGCAGCCAAGAGCAATCAAGTCATACTAGTAACCCTTTGTTTCTCAGCTTCTTCCTCTTAGCACAAGCTCATTCAGAATAGCATCTTCCTTTCAAGTTATTGCAGGCAACAATGCCAAATGACTTGGCATTGTGTAATGAAGAGTACCATCTTTAAGCCCCCAGAAATAGCTTCTTTACCACCCATTGCCCGGTCTCAAAGTCAATGCCACACATATTAGGTTTTTTTGTTACTGTAGCATCCCACTTCTAGATATCAACTGATTTTTTTTTAGTTTTCAAGATTTTTTTCCTTTAATTTTGCATAGCTTTTCTTCCTTTGAAAGTTAGCACAGACCGGGCGTGGTAGCTTACGCCTATAATCCCAGCACTTTGGGAGGCCAAGGTGAGAGGATTGCCTGAGCCCACGGGTTTGTGACCAGCCTGGGCAACTTGGTGAGACCTCATCTCTACAATAAGTCAAAAAATTAGCCGGGCATGGTGGCGCATGCCTGTAGTTCCAGCTACTTGGAAGGCTGAGGCAGAAAGATCACCTGAACCCAGTAGGTTGAGGCTGCAGTGGCCGTGAGCATGCTACTGTTCCAGCCTGGGCAACAGAGTGAGACTGCAACATACACACACACAAAAAGAAGGTTAGTACACAAAATACACTTTAGATCATCTAGTCTACTTTTGAAAAATGTTTTTTAAGATGTGTGGTACAATTCAGGATTAGGTATACAAGTGGACATCATACAGGCAAAGTTTCAGGCTCCCTTTGGTCCCTATTTTGCCTGGTTTGAGATCAGGTACCCTTATTGATGTTGTGTCCCGCCCCCCCACCCCGGCAGTATTCTGCTACTGCCAATCCCTTTCTTATAGTATTATGGTAAATGTTCAGGGTCCACTTATGAGTGTGAACATGTAGTACTCAATTCTTTGTTTCTGTGATAGATCACTGAGTATTATTGATTCTAAATCTATACAAGTTGCTGTGAAGTCCATATGTTTGTCCTTCTTTATGACTGCATAATATTCCATCATATATATACCACATTTTTTAATCCAGTCCAGTTTTGATGGGCAGTACAGTTGGTTCCACGTTTTTGCTATTGTGAACAGTGCTACAATAAATATGCATGTGCAGGTATCTTTTTTGTAGAAAGCTTTGAGTTCCTCTGGGTATATTCCCAGTAGGGGGTCAATTGCATTTTTAATAAGAATTTGCTAGGTTGTGTTGCAGTAACAACGAACCAATCCCAAAATCTGTGGCTTACAACAACAAAAATATATTTCTTGCTCATGCTACACCTCTGCTGTGGGCTTCCCTGAATTGGCTTTGTCTCTGTTCTACTTGCCATCTTCATTGGAAGATCCAGGCTGGTGGAAGGAAAAAAGTACCATATGAAGGTTTTTTGGGGGTTTTTTTTGAGTCAGAGTCTCATTCTGTCACCCAGGCTGGCATGCAGTGGCACGCTCATGACCACCGCAGCCTCGACCTGCTGGGCTCAGGTGATCCTTCTGCCTCAACTTTCCAAGTATCTGGAACTACAGGCATGCACTACCACACCTGGCTTATTTTTTGAATTATTGTAGAGACGAGGTCCCATCAAGTTGCCCAAGCTGGTATCGAACTCCTGAGCTCAGGCAATCCACTTGCCTCAGCCTCCCCAAGTGCTGGGATTACAGGCTTGAGCCACTGCACCCAGCTGAAGATTCTTAAATCTTCTGCTCAGATGTGATTACCATCACTTGAGCTCACAATCCATAGTCCACAGCAAGTCACATGGTCAGGCCTGGCATCAGTGTAGTGGGGAAGTATACTCTGCTCACAAAGGGCATGAAAGTCACATGGTAACAGGTGTAATCTTCCCCTGGGGTGGGTAGCAAATAACTGTGTACAATAAAATAGTTTACCACACTCCTTGTTACGTGCTTTCTACTCATAGGAATCACTTCTCTTTCAAAACTTCCCCTGAGACTTCTTCCCAAATTATCTTACCTCCTGCTTTTTTTCTTGCATCTAGCCCATCATCTCCTACTGCCTGATATTATCTATGTTTCTTCTCTTCTAGAGATGCATTCACAAAGGCTGTTGCATCACATCCCTGCAAGCTCACCTCCCTCACCTCGCTCTTCCAACAAGATTCATTAACCAGCATTTATTGAGCCCCTACCATGCATGTGAATTATGCAGCAATTTTATAAGACCCAGTAAGTCCCTTTAAGGAGTGCACAGGCCCATGGGGGTGACTGACAGAGAAGCATTTGCTTTGAGATCATTGTCTCTTTTTCTTGTTTTCCAGAGTCAGGTTCAGTTCACTCCCTGGCCTCACGTTCATTTCCCTATGTGCCATGCAACTCCACAGTGTCATGGTCAGGCATAGAACAGAGTCCACTGCTGTCCCTTCCCTAATAGCAAGAGAAAACAAGACAGAGCTCCCCTTGCCCGATTGTGTACCCATAGGCAATTGTCTGGTAGTTAGAAGCATACTCTGGAATCAGTCCAGATTTCAAATCCCAGTTCTTCTTTTTTTTTTTTTTTTTTTTTTTTTTTTTTTTTTTGAGTCAGAGTCTCACTGTGTTGCCAAGGCTGAACTGCAGTGGCATGATCACGGCTCAACGCAGCCTCGACCTCCCTGGCTCAGGGGTTCCTTCCACCTCAGCTCCCCCTCAGCCCTCTGAGTAGCTGGAACAACAGGCATGCTACCATGCTTGGCTAATGTTTTTAAAAGTTTTTGTAGAGGTGGGGGTCTCACTATGTTGTCCAGGCTGGTTTTCAATTCCTAGGCTCAAGCAACCCTCCTGCCTCGGCCTCCCAAAGTGCTAGAATTGCAGGCATGAGCTACTGCACCCAGCCCTAGCTCCACTTCTTATTAGCTTATGTAAGCCCGAGCTTACTTAACCTCTCTCATCCTCACATTCTTCTTACCTACCCAATGGCTTCTGGGAGGATGGAATGAGATTGGTGGATATCTCACTTATATCATGGGGCTCATCACAGTGTGCGCAACAAATAGTAGCTTTTATTGTATTATTTTGTTCTTTTTTTTTTTGAGTTGGAGTCTCACTCCATCACCCAGGCTGGAGTGCAGTGGCATGCTCACGGCCACCGCAGCCTCGACCTGCTGGACTCAGGCAATCCTTCCAAGTAGCGGGAACTACAGGCGTGTACTACCACGCCCAGCTAATTAATTTTTTATTTATTGTAGAGATGAGGTCTCGCCAAGTTGCCCGGGCTGGTCTCAAACCCACAGGCTCAGGTAATCCACTCACCTCAACCTTCCAAAGTGCTGGAATTACAGGCTGAGCCACTGAGCTCCACCACTTTTATTATTCGTATCGGTATATTCATGGAACCCAATCTACGCTGTTACCACCCTGCATTTTTCCCATGTTTGCACAGTTTGCAGCTAGTTAGGTGGAAGCTGTGCCTTTTCCTTTTCTCCACAGAACTTTGGGGTCTGAACTTCAGCCCCTCCTGCTCCCACCCCACCTGGTTCTCAGCATTCTGGTGCTCCCCACCTTGTCTCTAGGTGACTATGAGCTGGATGTCTCCCCCTATGAAGACACAGTGACCAGCAAACCGTGGAAAATGAATCTCAGCAAACTGAATATGCTCAAACCAGGTGTGGAGGGCAAGCCTAGGCTAGGGAGTGGGAGGCTGGGCCTGGACCCCAGGGAAGGGTGACTGAAGGGTGAGGGGGACACAAGCCACGGGGTTTTAGGGGAAGAGTTTCTAGCATACCAGAAGGTGAAAGTGTCAGGATGGAAGTTTGAGCTGTGGTACATGGTCTGGTCTCAAAGGAGTCATCACAGAGCAACAGTTATTAGGGAGGCATTTGAGGAGAGCGCATTAGAGCTCCCTGATTCCAAAAGGCCTGTCTGTCCAAAGGGTGTGGTAGGAGTGGCAGCTGTCCCAGAGAAAAATGGACTGAAATGGAGTATTTAACCCACATTCAAGGCAGTTAGGAAAGTAGCATTTTGTCCCTGAAGACTAGGAAATTGCTTGTTTTCAACCATTTTAATGAGATGGGTGAGGTATTGAGCAGGAAAAGTAGTGATAGAGTGTGTATTTCTGCACGGGGTGGCTTAGGGTGGGAAGCTATCAGTCTGGCAAGGACTGTGATGCATGTTTTTCAGGAAAGTGAGGTTGTGAGGTTTTTTTAATTTTAATTTTTATTTTTGAGTTGGAGTCTCACTCTGTCGCCCAGACTGGAGTGCAGTGGCCGCTCCTGGCCACCGTAGCCTCGACCCGCTGGGCTCTGGCGATCCTTCCGCCTCAGCCTTCCGAGTAGCTGGAACTACAGGCGCACGCTACCACGCCCCGCTCATTTTTTGATTTATTGTAGAGATGAGGTCTCGCCAAGTTGGTCAGGCGGGTCTCGAACCCGTGGGCTCAGGCAATCCACTCATCTCAGCCTCCCAAGGTGCAGGATTATAGGCTGAGCCACTGAGCCCGGCTACAAATCACTTTAGATATTTACAGTTTAGATATTTCTGTAAATACAGTTGTCTTACAGAAGTCCCCAAATGGGTTTATGTGGCGAAAAATCAAGATGGTGGCAAGGCCTTGTTCCTCCCGGAAGATGTGGAAAAGAATTCGCGACTTGCCTTTTCTAGCTTCTGAGAATGCTGGAAGTTCTTTGGTTCATGGCCTCCCTTCCAGCAACTGCATAACACGCCTTGACTTTGACCTTTGCTTCTGGTGTCTCGTCTCCCTCTCTGACTCTAACCCTTCGACTTCCCCTTTGGAGTATGGTGAGCCCACTCACATAATCCAGGATACTCTCCTCATCTCACAATTCTTAACTTGATCATATCTTTGATGCTCCGTTTGCCATAAAAAATAAAATATTCACAGGTTCCAGGGATAAGGGCATGGGCACCTCTGGGGACCATAATTTCTCCTACCACACTGGGGATAGATAGATTTCCAGCGTGGATGGAGCTAGTGGCTCACATAGTATTATCCAGGTCTTTCTCTCATCTCTACCTCTGCATTCCTTTGTATTCGTCTTATTCTCTGGGCCATGTCACACAGTCTTCCTCCCTGTAGCCAAGGAATACACTTGGCCCTAAATCACAGCATTTCAGATGAGTAGTTTGGGGGGAAAAAAAGATAATCTTTCCCCTCTTCTCTCTTTCCCTCTCCCTGGATCCAGTCACCAGTCTCCACTGTAGACTCCTTGAATTAAATAAGGCTCCTTGGGGTGTTTAGGAAGAAGGACACCAAGAAGGGAATAAAATTCCTTAAAGCAACTGGGTTTGGGATTTGTGAGCCTAATTCGTATGTTAATCAACACACACTCAATTTTGTAGTCCAAGCTGGTGATGCCAGACACATCAGCGACAAAGTTCCCTAGCAGCACAGCCTGGTCATTATTTAGTCTTTTAAAGTCTAGGCCAACCACACAGAGGCACGGGCAGAAATCCCAGACCTGCTCGGCTGGGAGCGTTGACATTTGCGGTTAAGCAGGACCCGGGGAAGCCACACATCCGTCCTCCTTGGTTTCATCGTGTGAGTCTATAACCTTGAGGAAAAAGACCCCTCCCTCCTGGGGTAGGTTGATCAGTAAGGGCCGTTTCAGTCCTGCCGGGCTCCAGTTTCAATCACTGAGCTCTGGATATGTGAACACTCACGCCTGCATACAGAAGACAGGGGAATTTAGAATGTAGACCCGCTTTCAGGAGCTGTAACTAGGCTGACCCTACGTCCAGGTTTGCCAGGGACAGGCCTGGTTTGCACCTGCTGCCCTAAGGGAAGTAATCATCGATCTCCCCTTCACTCTCAAAGGGGGGCCTGTTTAAGTCTCAGTGTTATAGTCACCTTAATGTCAGTGGAAGGAGGAAGAATTAACTTTTTCCTTCTGCGGTTCCGTGTGCCTCTGAGCCAGGCGGGGGCTGCAAGACACCAGTCAGGGAAGACCCCCAAGTCACACAGGTGCCCCCCTTCCCTGAGCCAGCTCTACCGACAAGGAATAAACAAACCTTTCCCACGGTAGGGAGTCGGGGTGCCTATGATGTGGCCTTGTGGTAGTCAGCCCTAGCCTCTGGGCTGTTCCTTCTGAGTCTGCTAGATCTCAGGGGTAAGTGCTCGGTTGCAGGAAAATAGCTTTCACAACTTGCCTTTGGATTTGTTTATATGAATA